ATTAAATACACTAAATCCCCTTTTATAAATAAACTACAACTAATATTTATGATTTGAGATTATTAATGAATTTACTACTTCTATTCTTGAACAAAGAAAGTTCAATGTAAAATCTATATGAATGGAAATGTTTTAAAGCCTACGAACACTTAGGCTTCCAAAAATCCTACCAAATCTGGTGGCTATTCACCTAAATATAAAAGTTCACCAAAGGAAGTTTTTCTTTTTCCATTGATACAATAAATGACTTGATGTAGTTTTTCATATATTATCTTATTTATATAAGTTGATAAATATTTGAGAAATTGTGATAAAAGCATATGAATTAACAAATATCCATACTTTAGGATTTAATATTAGGCCACACAAATAGTAGTATTTTTCAAAAGAGATATTCAAAGGATATTCTTTGAAAATTCACGTGAAATCGATAGATCAAACCCTTATGTAGTTATGTAAAGTTGAATGACCTTTTAACCTTAAAAATAAGCACTTATTTTATACCATTTATGTACAAAAAATAAATACATATTATCAAATTTCGGAAATACTTAATTAATAAAAGGAGACTAAACAATTGTACATCAAGTTCAAATGATATAGCATCTAACTTCAGGGGAGATAAATATATTATTATTACTACATCCTTATCATTTAATTTATGTGTATCAAATATATTCTATGAAATAATTCCAAAATAAACAAGAAACGGATAACTTTAATAACTTAATCGAAGGCACCAAAAACGGAAGTCCAAAATCATTATCATTTAGTTTTGAACTTTATTAGAATAATAATTAAAACTATAAATTGCGCTTTAATCAGTAATTATATACTCATTATCATCATTTGCCCAAAATTATCATTTAAGTTTTCCCTAATTTTCGAAGTTTTTACTCAATCAAATTTTGTGCATTTAATCCTTACTTATTTGAATTGTACATAAATTTTTTATGTTAAATATATTATATAAATTCTTTCCTTATTTGAATTATGTAAACTTTTATTTTATAACTTAAACATAATTTTAATATAATATTTATCTAATTGTTTTAAACATATCATCAAGATGGGGTACCTAAGACTAGTACCAATTGTATTTGTACAACTGTTGTTTTATTAAGATTAAGTAAAGATATATTAGGGCTATTATTGTGGACCTTCGTCTAACTAAACTAGCCACATACAATGAAGCTGGAATTCGTTCATTTCCACCCTAATTAAGTAATGCGTCAATTAATTGAGGATAAGGATAGAAAATGATGGTATGTGAGTATTAATTACGTATCGAACTTTGTGGTTTACATGGGCTATAGATCTTTTGAATAATTCACCAGAAAATAGTCCAAAGTCCACTCACGTGCCTTTGAATATTGTTGCTAATTTTCTAAGTCTTGTTGCAACTTTAATAACTTGTCATATTCTACCATGAGAAACAGCCCCAATTTTGGGGCCTTGATTTGGACTGCCTACAACAAATTAAAAATAATTACCAAAAAAATAAAATAAATAAATAAAAGAGACTGTATCTTTTGAAGGACTAATTGATCTGCCTTGATAATGTTCTTTTAAAATTTATTTCTTTGGTGAGAGACTGTACAAGTATTTATTACGAAGAACTTATCGTGACCACAGTTGTGAAGCTGGGGAGGGGCGAAAGTGATTCATCCGAACTTCTTCGCATTATATTTTCATGTATATAAGATTAATCATTATTATTTATGTATATAAGTGAAATGATGAATCTCCTTTATTTTTTGCATTTTTTTTTATATATATTTTTTGAATCTCCATCGTTGAAATTCTGTATCCACCACTGTATTAACANATATATATATATAACTGGACAACGTGGAAAACAAAGCCGAAGGAAGTGTTGTCTGTTTAGTATACTTTTGCAATTTTCTTTTAGGAATCAAAGGTAAAACAAATGGTGATATCAGATCCTCAATCTTTATTTTTGTTGGTTACACTATATTAAGTCTACGAGTCAAAGTCAGATGATGTACTAAAATCCAATTTGGTTAGGACAAGTAATGCAGTAGTCCATACTGTTGATTGCTGTGTGCTGTACACAAGATTTCAAATTATATCCCTTCGTTTCTCACCCCCACACGCTACACTTTTTTTGGATTAGTCTATTGCCATGCTGTTAAGGACTCTTTGACTTTGTGCTTCGTGTGCATATTTCTTCTTTGCAAAAAGATTTGCGCGGTTATCAAGAGCAACGCGTACATAAATCGATTTGATTCGAATTTTTTAATTATCAAACCAAATCAATGGTATCAGGTTCTTAAATTTATAAATCAAACCAAACCAACAAATCAGATTTTCAATCTCAATTTTTCTCGTATTTTTTTGGGTTTTTCGAATTTTTTTCCGGTAAAGTCTTCATAGCATAAAATATATAACTTGTGCTCCAAATATTTCTTAAATTCTAGTAAAATACAACTGTATAATATGTTTTTCAAGAAACTAACACAATAATATGAGATAAGTCATAGCATTATACTAAAATATTCAATAACAAAGATAAAATAATAAAATTATATAAAATAAATATTTGCTAATTAATAAGTCATAATGAAAACTAACATAATCTAAAAATAATATATAGGTCATGCTAAAATAAGTATAGCTAATAAGTACTAATATTAATTACATAACCAAGCACTAAAGAAAAAAAGATAAACTAATTAAGTTATGCATCTTCATTATAAACCAATGTAAAAGTAAAATAATTATCCAACACTTTCGTCATTCTTAGTATTGATTTGAAGTTTGTTTGAGTTACTACATTTATGGGCTATAAAATTTATTTACAATTCAAGAATGTTAAATCTAAACTTAAAATAATATCTTAAAAGATAAAACTGTGAAAACGTTTAAGAAATATTTATAAATTACATTACAATAAATATTTATATGTATAAAATATTTTTAAAATTGTATAAATGTACTATCGGGTTAGTTTGATTTCGGTTTGACTTTTTTTTTTAGTTAAAACCAAACTAAACCAAACCAATTATGGTCGAGTTTTATTTTCCAATACCAAATCACATTGGGTTTTTTTCCCCGATTTGACTCGACTTATCGATTTAATGCGGTTTATCGGTTTTGTTTGTGACGGTTATAATTTGTTGTACTGTCCCTTTGACGATGTAAAAGGTTGCTAAGTTGAATTATAGTAATATTCATGCAAAAAATCCAATTTCACCGTAAAAGGCTCGCCAACTGGGCCGAAAAATTATGGTAAATATAAGGGGTGCACATATATTCATTTTCAAGGATGTTATTTAGAGATTAACCAATATTTTGTCCTTAAATTTTAAATTAAAAATCTTAACTTCACGACAGTTCAGAACACTTTTGTCCCGAAAAATTGAACTGAAAAACTAAATTCAGAACGCACTGACTGATTCTTAAATAGCAGCCTTTGAAGTGACTACCTAGTGTCATTTCTACCGAATATTAGGTAGATTGTACAAATATCCACTTTTTAGTCTTTGTAATTGAGAAATACCCATTGTCTCCACGATAATGTTGCATATTTTTCAATTATAGGACCGTAAAGTTACCAATTGACACTATTTCTATTAAATATGCCCAAAAGCTGTGCTAATCGAAAAAAAATTGCAGAAACATGACACAGTAAGAGATGATCTTGAATTTTTATTCCCATTTGTCTCATAGACAAACCTTCAAGGTCAAAATTCAAAAATTGTGCCCACTTTTTAAACTTAAAAGGTTTGCCCATGGGGCAACCGGGGTTAAAAGTTCAAGGCCATCCACTTTCAAGGCTATTCTTGTAAATTATCCGTGCGTATCAGGATCTTAGACTTTGTAGCCCAATAATGGCATGGTATGATAATACGTAGAAAATTGGTAATATTTTAGCCTTATATTAGGGTTGACAAATGTAACCCCCAAAAATTGGCATTATATACCCAAATCCTAAATAATTCTAGTTTCTTATTTATTCTCTACCCCCGTATTTCTTCTTCAATGCCAAATCCTAAATAACCTTAATTTCTTATTTATTCTCTATCCCCGTATTTTTTCTTCTCTCTCCCTGTATTTTTTCTCCAATTTTCTTCTTAATCTTTTCTTTTCTTCTTCTTCTTCTTCTTCTTCTTCTTCGACGATCTAGCAAACTTTCTTCTTCAATCTGGATTTGGAAGGGCATGTGCTCTTTAATAATGCTTGGGAAGTTGTAATGGTTGAATATATTTTTCTATGAAGTTTAGATCTTCTCATCATGACGGCAATTCCGTAAAAAGATTTGTTTTTTATCTAGTTTTTTTGTTATCTTCATCTGATTGTTACTTTGTTCGATTTGATTTGTATCTCTTTGGCAGACTCCAATTTTCTTCCTTTTCTTCTTCCCTATTATTTTTTTAATTGTTAAAAAGAAAATATGTGTGTTTGAGGTGGTGTATATCTATGTATATCATCATGTGTACCCGTATGTATATCATGTTATATATCGTGATATACATTGTTAGATAAGGCAATAAAAGGTTAAATCGGAATCAAATCGTCCTAAATAATTTTAAGAGAATGAAATTAATTCTGAATAAACTTACTTCAGTTTTTTTATTTATCAAAGAAGGAAAATAATTTTTTGATATAACGGGTTTAGAGCAAATTTTAAAAATAAAAATAATAAATATAACTATAGGAGTAAATAAAATTTTGATATACAAAGAAAAAAAATTGATATACATTCGATGTGTTATACACCGCGATATACAAATAATATAATTATTTTATTGTGATATACATTGATAAAAAGGCAACAATAAATGTTAAATTACTATATATATGATTTCATATTTTAGATATACAAAGAAGAGAAATAAAATTTTAATATACATGTTGATATACATAAGGAAGAAGAAAAAGTTATGACATACATTATTGTTGTGATATATATTTATTGGCTATTCAATGCCAATATCTATAACTAGGGCTATTTTCTGCTAATTATGTAAGTACCTTGTCACGCCATGCCAAAATACCGTAACTCTATTTCTAGTTACAAATAGAAGAGAAAAAAGGCCCAAAGAACGAATAGATTACAGAAGGCCCAATATCGGAGAGGAGTCCCATAATTCAGTGCACTAAACGGAGATTAACATTTTCAGATGAATCGTTTTCCCGATAAGAATTCACCGGAAAATGAAACCATTAATGGCATCCAATCGGTGAGAATGTTTTCACAAAATCTCTATTGGTCACTTTCAATTACTGCTGAACATATCTTTGGTTCGTAATTCATACTTTAATATGCTCAAATTAGGGTTCTTACAAAGAGGGGCAAGCTAGAAACTTAACAGTAGAGCCAGTAGTGATTGGGGGAATGGTGTTGGATGTAAATGCCACATCTTCCATGCCTGCTAATCCAGGGACCTCCACTCCTGGAAAGGTATCAACTTTTTTGACTTATGCTTTTTCTGGACCATAAGTATATTCATGTATATGATTAACAATTTACTAATTACTGCTCTAGTATAAGTGTGACGACCGATGATAACCAGTGGCGGACCCAGGATTTTGTGCAAGCGGGTTCAATATTAGGAGTACATAACTTTAGTAGTAAAATAGTAGCTTTAATCCTAATTTATACATATACACGGTATTATTTTTTGGTGAAGCGGGTTCAGTTGAACCCGCTAGACACCACGTGGGTCCGCCACTGATGATAACGACCAAAAAAAAAAAACTAGTGTGTGTACGCAAAACTTAACCCTATCCTTAAAAAGGCAGAGGTTGTTTCCGGTAGACTGATGATAAAAAATGTTTAAAAATTTTCAGATAATAGGAAAAAGAGATCATAACTCATTTCTTACAAAAAAAAGAAAAGAGAGAGAGATCATAAAGAACACAATGGACAAAACAATGAAAGACAATTACTTCCTACATACTCATATGGGGCAAAAGGAAAGGTTTCTTATTTCTTTTTATTGAAAATCAATCATGCGTAAAATAGTCCTTAATTTGTGTCTCTGTGATAGGGTTACATAATGACCATCATATTGTCATGGGTTTATTACTTGAAATCTCTCCCTCTATCTTGGAGAAACTAAACTAGCCATCCTTTGGTTTCGATGAACTATAGAGGAATTAATATCTCAAATATGAATGAAGAAAATGAAGTAGTCAAAATCCTTGGTGGACAGAGTTACCACAGTACTTGTGCCGGTGGGAGGTAGCAGGTACCCCGTGGAATTAGTTAAGGTGCGCACAATCTGGCCCGGACACCACGATTATCAAAAGGAAAAAGAAAATGAAGCACATGGGAAACACTGATGAGAGATTTTGTGCAGCTGTTGTGCCATTGCTTCTTGCTTTAGAAAGATTGTTTGTTAGCTAGGCCGTTTTCAATAAGGCTCACGCTAGGCGCTGCCGCTCACAGAGTATTTAAATTCAAACAGAAGTCTAATCTGTAAAAATAGGTTTACAATTAGTCTTCTTTACCAGCCTTTCTGCAGCATGCAAAAAGGTTCATATCTTAATGTACGACTCTGCTATTCACTTCAGGTTATCTTTTCATTCGGTGGTGTGGCAAGGAATGTTGCTGATTGCATCTCAAAGCTTGAAGCAAGACCATTCATGATAAGCGCCGTTGGATTTGACATGGCAGGTGAGTTCTCTATATGGTTAGAGCTGTTCTGCTGCAACTCTTCCCACATTTTATTGGTAATAACTGATAAGTTCACAACAACATGATGCTTACATACTTTTGTCATTCCTCACAAATTGGATTTGTGGTCTACTTTCAGAAGTGGTAATATCCATGTCATCTTTACCAAGAAACCTCAACATTCTGCGTGAATAATATAAGCAAGTTATGTTCTCCCCCATCTTATGACTTGTAGTATCCTGTCAATTGAAAGCAAAGGCTGCAAAAGCAAATTAATTTGAATTTCCACCTTCTGAATGTTACAGGCAAATCTATTGCTATTACCCTATTTATATCATCTACATTCGAGTGCAGTTTTACCGGCATATATGTGGCTTAAATGATATAACTTGACATTGCTACTTTAATAATTGGATAGCATCATGATTTCAGATAGTCTATAAAGAAAGTTTATTTCTAATATTTTTTTTTCTTTTTGAATTTTTCTAATTCTCCTGTGAGTACAAGCTTTTCTGTCTCATCATTCTAGAACAGCAAACAATTAGTTGAGGAGTTTCGCCCTCTTTTTATAGGAAATTTGCTACTGGGACATTGGGAATCTGCTGGATTATCCACAGAAGGTAACCTTTTTAACCTTTTACTTCCTCTTTTTCCTCCCTATGCCACATTCCCGAGTGCTTGGGAAATAATTTTGCCCACTCTGGACTGGAGCGATGTTTTCAGTAAATGGAAACAAATTGCCTTCTAACAAAAGAAGGCTAGCTGCATACCATGTAAATAAACAACGTCATGTCTTGAAATTGGAGTCACCGAATGTTGAAAAGATCAACTGCAGAATCTGATCATTCATCCTGATTAGGTATTCAGAGAAATCGCAATATTGAGACTGCTGTTGTTTGCTATATCTTTGATGAGAAAGGTGAAGTGGCAGCTGGCGTAGCTAGGGTAGAATCAATTGTGAGTTGATTTCAAAAGATCAAGCAGTTAAAAGGTAATACTCCCTGTTACCTGCTATTGATGTGCGTTTAATGCCTCTAAAACAGGAAAAGTTTCTCACCCCAAGGTGGATTGAAAAGTTCAAGTGCAAAATAAGTTCTGCTCCAATATTGATGGTGGATGCAAATTTGACTTCTTCTTCTCTTGAAGCATCTTGTCAAAGTAAATACCTTCCTCTATACATGTGACACAATTTGCATTTCTTTGTTTGGGAGGTGCTAAGATTTTCATTGTATATACGACTATCCATCAAATCGTGATATGCATAGCAAAACTTAGTGCTTCTCAAGGTATCACATATATGCTCTTCATTGACCAAAAAGAACATATCATACTTATGGTTAAAGAGGAAGCACATGCTTAAATTGCATTTTCGAAAATAATCTTGAAGCTTAAAACTACAAAGCATATTTTCTTCTGCTCGAGCAATCTATCTCTAACTACCGATCCATTAATGGTTCCCAAGGAATGTATCTATAGTAAAAAATGTACGTAAAAATACTTCTGGCTGAGTTCCGCACGTATGTTTAATGTCTATAGGAACTTTGGCCTAAATAAGTGCTGGATTATATATGAAGTTTATCTGTATTAGAAAGAAAATTTTGCATAATATTGTTATGATTAATTTGCAAACTTCTTAACTAATACTACTACTAATACCAATACAGTTCACCATTTTGTTGATCCAACCATTTAAAGTTTCACTGGATGTTCATCTGCTATGAGTATTTGGAGTCTTGTCTTGAATGGTCATCTTCCTCAGTGGGAGTATCTATTGGATAGGTGTAACCAATCCATTCTAACTAGAAAGAACGAAGACCTGCTTACTGCTTGCAGGCTAATGTCTCTTGTTTGTAAATGGCATAAGATACTCAGTGTCGCTGTTGTCTTTATCTGCTACTTTTGTGACATGCGAAGATACTTATGAACCATTTCAAATATGTTCCTCTCAGTGGCTGCTCAGTTTAATACTCCAGTCTGGTTTGAGCCTGTATCAGTCGCCAAATCTAGAAGAGTTGCTTCAGTTGTCCAGTATGTGAGTTCTCCAGATCTTGTGTATATGCCTTTTCATCTGGATTTTAAATTTCAGACTTAACAAGAGGAAAGTTTGCTGCATCTTTTAATTATTAAAAGTCTGTTTAGAATAACTAGTTCTGCTGGTACATGAAACTAAATCCTAAACCCTTCAGCTGTACTTTCAGATTTCTACCTTCTGAATGTATAGATCCATCTGGATTGTGTTTTCTCAAACAATATGTGTAGATATTTCTGTTAGACCAAAATCTTGGATCTTCCCGGATGCTTACATTGGACTTGAGTACAGCAATTTGAATTTGTTGGAACAAGAATTAGTCATAGAGGTGGTTTCTTTTACATTCTAGAGGCAAAAAACTCTGAAGAAAACTTATTATACTCATGTTCTATTGAAGAATTTGCTAAAATATTCTTTATCATGCTGAATATTAGAACATGAAGCTTCAAACATAAAGGCGACTCATAGCGATTTGGCGTAAAACACTTATTAGCAGAAAAAGATGGTGTTGAATTGTTCTAGCATTGGGAAGTTCCATGAGTCAGGAAGATTCTTTTTGAATTGGCTGTATAAGTATCTTTCCTTGTGAGGCACAGAAAGTCCTTTTGCATGAATTTCTTTTCTTAGATAAGTAATATCATTGTTATAGTAACTAAATAATAAGGTTCTTGCAGGTAAGTTTTGCATCACCTAATGAAGATGAACTTATTGCCATGGCAAATGCCATATCCGGCAGAGACATATTTCATACAATTCGGAAAGATCATGGTACTATAAAGCTGTCCAAGGAATCTTTGTTCCAAATGCTTAAACCTGCAATATGGCTATTGCTGGACAAAGGTGTTAAGGTAGTTGTTGTAACGCTTGGATCACATGGGGTATTCTTATGCTCCAATGCAAAGTCCAATCTTGAGAAACTTGTTTTCAAGGAAAACCAACCCTCTCACTTCAGTAAACAGTTATACGAAGCTATTGATACAGTTTGTCCAAGGGATCAGCTTTTTGGTACTTCAAAGTGTGGGCCGATCTCAAATCTTTTTGCTGTCCATTTTCCTGCACTTTCTGCTTCAGTAGTGAGGCTTACAGGTGCTGGAGATTGCTTAGTTGGTGGGATGATAGCTTCGTTGTGTGCTGGTTTGGATGTCATGCAAAGTGTAGCAGTTGGGATTGCAGCTGCTAAAGTTGCTGTTGAAGTAGAAAGCAATGTTCCTGCAGAGTATTGTTTGGCCAGACTAGCAGGTATATTCATGTTATGTGGCGTCATAGTTAGGCCTGTATGTGTGACATTATACACATTCTCGATTGACATTGCATGCGAAAATAAAGCGCATATTTAAAGGATTGCAGTAAGCTTTGTGCTCAGAAGGTCTATTTTTAATGCTAATATTGGCTAACATCAGGTGTTCTCATTTTGCAGATGATGCAAGGTCTGTATACTCTGGTGCTACGATACTTCTGTGTCAATCCAAGTTGTAGTTCACCAAGGTTTGTGAATTCTGTTGTTATAATCTTATCGCATGTTCGTGCTGTAATCTGAATGAAATAACAAATCTTTAAGGCTGCGTACAATAGACCTTTGTGGTCCGGCCCGTCCCCGGACCCCGCGTATATCGGAAGATTAGTGCATCGGGCTGCCTTTTTTTGATTTGTGCTCTCATCACTTCTCTCTTCTCTTTCTACCCCTCGGTTACTTTGAAAAATTATACTCAATTAAAGCAGGTCAAACTTTCCAATCGTTCAAGAGCAGCGATGCTTATTTCAAAGAAAAGCCAATGTACAACTATTTTAATTATAAAATGTAATTCTTTACTTTCCAGTTTCGTTCATTCTTCCAGGTATAAGTCCTCTGTTTCTTTGTCATTTTCTTATTTTACCCGCAACACTACTATTTCCATCCAAGTACAATGTTCGATGAGACATGATAGCAATTTTCGTCGATTTAAATACTTTTATCTTCCAATTGTCCCGGACGTTTATCTTAGTGTATTTACTCTCCAATACCATTTCGCTGTTGACTCCTTTTCACAAGATTACTACTAAATATTCTTCACCGTGCTGAATAGTAGAACATGAAAGCTTCAAGCACAAAGGCTAGCCGGGTTCTGGGTTCCGGACATCGGTACCCCAAATTGAACCCGTTCCGACCGATCCTAGCCCCCTCTACGACCTATCCCACCACACTACCTACCGGGCCGGGTTGAACTAGGCCGTTAACGGGTCAGCCCAACCCGACCATTATTGAGAGAGAGAGAGCTGTAAAAAATCATTAATGACCCAAGTCGCAACAGAAACTTTAATCCAAAAGGATAAATTAAAACCTTCTACAGATTGTAAGAATAGCTTCTCCAGTGTAATTGGAATTCTGTGAACACATCATCCATTTACAGTTATTGTTGTTTACTTTTCAATTGCAAGAGTGGGAGTGAATCAGAATCTCCATCATCATCATCCGAATAGCAATCTGGAGAAGAGCTGAACTCGACCGATGATTCTGAACTAGTCTGGTATTGTTCTTCATTGTCATCATCAAGAGATTGTGAATTCCCATCAGGGTTCATTGATTCAAGTTTTGAGATTTCATCCTTGCTACATTTTTGCTTCAATTCTTGCTGCTCCATTAGAAATATTTACAAAATCAATGTAGTTTAATATATTAAACAATAGCATGTTAGCTATCATTTTTATCAGGCAATCAATTAAGTTTCTTATAGAAATTTGTTCATAATTACTTTATAAATATTTTTGCATTGTTAGTGCTTGAACTTAAAACTCATAAATAAATGAATAGACAACTGACCAGCAAGTTCTTGTTCTCTATTTTAAGTCGCATGCAAGATTTTGCACTCTTCTTCAATACACAAGAGAGTATGCCAATTTCCTTCTTCAATTCCTCTATCTTTGCTATTAATGCATCATCATTCTCCTGCAAGGGCGAAAACAATCGATAAGGAAAGAATAACAAGTAGTACTACAAAAGATATGAAAAACTAGTAATTGTTTCTTGTTTTTTCAAGAAAATGAACCAATGTGTCTAAAGTACAGTTGATAAGAAAAAAGGAGTTGGTTTTGAAGGAAATATGGTTAAGTTTCAAAGAGCTGTGCTTCTGCAACTGTTGATAGAATTTATGTTAATAGTGTAATTGTTTTTTTTTTTTTTGCACTATCAAGTTAAATAGACCTATAATATAATTCACATGAGCATTCTCACTGTTAAAAAAAATAAAAAGCCAATTCAGAATTATTACCAAGAGCGTACATCATAACAAAGGAACTGAATGAATTAATTTTAAAAAAGAAATTTCCATCTGTCTAAAATTGCACCTCTTTGAAGTCTCAGTATTTGCAGGACATCTATCTGCCTTAACACGTTCTGCATCTTCATGACTTCTCTCACTTTCATTCCTCAATTTCAACTTCAGAAATAATTCACTTTGTTCAGATTTTCCAGTTTTCACTGCTGCATCCTTAGAGAGCCAACAGGAAACGTCGAAAGAAGTTTAATTAGTAAATCCTATCGCGTTTAAGTTTTACACACTGATAGTACACCATGTAGCATATTGATAAGATTTATTTTCTTTTTTGTTTCCACATTAATTCCCCGGCAAAGAAACAAATATACAAACTTTGTCAGGTTAATTTACGCGTGATCACTAAACTTTACGGAATTATATCAGTAAAGTCACAAGACTAGTTATTGCACTACTAAAGTCAATAAACTTTACATGTTATATCAGTTAACTTATATATTTTTACCACCTTTTACTGATACAAACGGGTAAAGTTTAGTGAATTTAATAATGGATTTTATTGATATAACATGTAAATTTCAGTAATCACACATGAAATTAACCCAACTTTGTAAGGAAAAATTAAAAAAAAACCCAACTTTGCCACTTGACCCTTGTTTAGTGGCCATAACAAACTTTTGGTTATATCATGTTCGCTGCAATAATAAGATACTAAATTTAACAGATTATGGAGAAGAAACAACTAGAAGAAGAACACTAATTTTTCAACGAAAAAAACAACAGGAATGTAAAATATATTTTTTGAAATTGAAAAATTAAAGGAAAAGAATATTGCAGCTTTGTAAGAGCAAAGGGTTGTAATAATACCGGAATCTTGACGGCGATCATTGTTCAAAAACTCTGGGGAGCTTACCAACTTTTTTTTTTGTTTGCAGATTATTAATTAGAAAAAATAAAATGCTAAATTTTGTATAATGCGAACCGAAGAATTAAAGAGAAAAAATTCAAAGGGCTGCATTATATATGGCGTCAATGGTAGAAGAATTATGATGAAATCTGCGCGGCACAAGGAGTTCTTTTCCAAGTCATATTCAATTTCAATTTTTTTTTTCCTTTTTAAAACCCCTCCCAAAATAGGAGGATCACTTCTCCTCCGACTCAAATTCAGGACCTAACGATTGTGAGTGGGGGTGCTTTTACCAACTGAGCAAGTCTCAATTGTCAATTTCAGATTTTAACTAACAACGACAATAATAACATACCAAGTATTATTCCGCACCGTGAGATCTGGGGAGAATACGCTAACCTTACCTCTACCAACCTTGTGGCCGTTAAATATAATTAGTTATTTGATTAGTGAAGGATTCTGAAAATAAAATAGTAAATAAATAAAAGTTGAAGGATTCTGAATAGACCAGTCAACTGATATAGGAGTAGTATTTTTTAAGGAGTAAATCCCATTTAATCTCATAATCCTTTAGGATTTGGGAAACTACTATATATTCTTTCCACCTATTGGTTGGAATATATAAGTACTTTGATCTTGAATTAACGGTCTAAATTAACTTGACATTGCTAGTATTTTCAAAAGGTCAAATATGACCTTCAATCACTGTGGATTGTAATAAAGAAATTCAAAATGAAAAAAATTACCAATAGTATTGTAAGAATGTCATGAAGTTTTTTAAAGTTTACCACAAAACTCATAAGCTAAAGTAAATTTTCAATACTAGCAGTAATCAGGGGCATATATAGTGTATTAATGGCGAGTTCAATTGAACTCATAACTTTCGACGCGAAATGAAAATTTATACGTAAAAATTCTTTAAAATTACAAAAATAATAGATATGAACTCATAACTTTAAAAATATAATGGGTTCAATACTAAAAACCTTAAATGATGAACCATAAAGTTTAAAAATTTGAATCCGCCTCGGGAGTAATACAAGCAACAAAAACGTAAGGATCAAGATACATACATAATTTGAAAATTGCAAATACAAACCCATGAAGCAACTAAGTCTTTGAAGATTAAAAGAAAACTAAAAGACAAACAAGAGGCAGAGGCGGATTCAATATTTAAATTCTATGGGTTCATTTTTTTAAAAGTTTTTAGTATTAAACTCACTAAATTTGTAAAGTTATTGGTTCATATCTACAATTTTTACAAGTTTAATAAATTTCTACATGTAAATTTTTACTCCGTGTCAAAAGTTATGGGTTCAATTGAACCCGTCGGTAATACGCTAGGTCCGCCCCTGACGAGAGGAGTAAAATTCTAATTTATATACATTGGATTGATATTTTGTGTCATTCGGGGAAGGCTGACGGATGCTCTTGGTAGAAAATCTACGGGTGACTTCACTTATTTGGTAGTATATAAATTTATAGTTTAGCCGAGCTGAGGGTACGGATCGTGGAGGATGATATTAGTGATGTGACAATAATTCATAAAAATAGGTGTATGGGTCAAAAATTACTTCTGATATAATCAAATCATGTTAACATTAAAGAGGCACTCGCAGACTACCACATGTTATCGGTACGACTTAAACAAAGACCTGCCCAAGGTCGAAGTGGTCCCTGAAGTGATGAAGGGTGCGGTCGAAGAGTCGGCAAAGATCAAGGTCTAGGTCGAACATCTTAGACAGTATTATAACGGTTAGTTTTAGGATATGATACAAAAGAGAATATTCTAGTGGATATTCTCTGTACCTGTACTATTAGGATTTTTAAGAATATGTTCCCTATAAATAGAAAGAGACACAATCATAGGAGAATTGAGATATTCACTTGTAAGAAAACACATTGACTTGATAGAGAGAATCTGGCTTTATTGCGAGCACACGAGAAATACCTTTTCACTACTTGAATATTCAAAAGATCATCAATCATTCATCATTGTCAAAAGAGATATCCGCAAATTTTACCCCTTTTCAGACGATTCACATGTTCTTATTTACTTGAATGTCATTCATCATTATTTATTATTATTTAATGTTATCTTCCACCTTTTAGGTCATTGAATTTTGTTAGTGTTATCCAATTTACTGCCTTTCGATTAAACATACATATTATCTATTACAAAATCGGTTATTTTATCTTTTGGGTATTAATATTAGCTAAGATTGACTCTACTTTATTTAAATCTAATTGGTTGAACCCGAATCTAAATTTTGGGTCAAACAGTTTGGCGCCGTCCGTGGAAATTTCTTAGCTATTTTTTTAATTTCTTTTAGATCTACAACTCACGTGAGTTACTAACATAACAACCACAAGATCTTTCTCTTTCTCTGCACGTACAGAAACCTACATAGCAGGTAACCAAGGAGATATGACTAAAGTGACAAGTGACTTCCCTAGCAACCTCATGAACGCTATTAACGAGAGCTGTGAAACACTAGGCGATGATGTGACACCAACTGCCTCCCTTAGGCGCGAGAGGTCGCCTCCCCCATTGTAGCATAACAAAACGAAATGAAAAAGGGGCCTCCACGTTCACAGGAGAGGGAACGGCACCGGCCATGAAAAAGCTCGTCGAAGCATGGCTGACCGTTACTTTAGTTAGTGTGATTAACAAACTCGCTTCATGCACGAACATAGAGACCGCAAGAGCCCACACAGTGCAACGGGCAGGACGACCAACCGACACCAGGTATTACTCAAAATGTTACTAACAATTTAGGTGACGACGTCCTCGCCGCTGTTCTAAAAAGGATGGAAGAAATGGAGAATGAAAACAAAACACTCAGAGATGAGATGAAAGAACACCAAGAACGAGTCGACAAGATACATGGCGCCCCTAATTATAAGCAACTGCCAAAGAGAGACGCCGACAGATTTGTAGAGCAGCCGTATAGCGAGGAAGCGGTCCCATATGCCATACCAAAGACCTTTAAAATATCGTCGTATCTTAGGATATATGACGGAATGACTGACCCCGAAGATCACGTGACTCATTACGTCACAACCGTGAAGGGTAACGACCTCACCAAGGAACAAGCATCCTCTATTTTGTTGAAGAAATTTGGCGAGACCCTAACGGGATGGGCATTAACATGTTATTCAGAGCTACAATCCCGCTCCATAGAAACCTTCGAATAAATGGCAGATAAGTTCGTGACGGCGCATGCCGGGGCCAAGAAATCCGAGACAAAGATTAAATGACATCTTCGCCATCAAGCAGTCCTTAGGAGAGAGATTGAGGGACTTCCTCGCCAGATTCAACACGGTAAGGATGGCCCTACCAAATGTGTCTGAAGGGACGGCAGTCGCAACCTTTCAGAACGGGTTGATAAACAGGGCTCAAGAGCAACCAGAAAGTTGCTGAGCCGGTTGATGAAGTACCCTCCAACCAATTGGGATGAAATCTATAATGCTTATTGTGCCGAAGTCCGAGCAGATAATGACGACCTTAATGGACTGACTCGATGTCTTATCTCGGTGCAAGCCAAGCCCA